AAAGACTTAAGTTAAAAAGTGAATGATGTCTTTCTCTAGAGTGTGAAATAATGAATCTTAGTACATGGGTAACCAACATTAATTAGCTCCCTTCCTTATATCTGTTTGATATTCCCTGTTCCTTAGGGTAGTGTTGGAGTATGATACCAGGATGAGCTCCCCCTACACCTGGATCTGTACTTCAACAGGTCACTTGGGAGTTGGGGAACACTTGCAAGAAGTGCAGTTTACATTAGCAAATTCATCCAAGGAATGGTGGCCACCTGGCCTCAGTGTGTTTAGGAAACGAAAGGATTCTGGGCAGGAGCGCTGACAGTGGTGAAATGGAGAACCATCTGTTCATGCTGAGGTAGAGTAGCCACAGGGTGCCCTGTGAAAGCAGCAGTTGGAGCCGGATTGGACCGCTCAGGTGCTACTTACTGTGCGCTGGACTCAGGGGCATAGGCCCAAGGGTGGGAAAGAGGGAGGTGGAAGGCTACGGGGCTGGGGGAAGGTCATTGGTCCACCCCCGATAGCAACACTGTGACCCTTACATTTCTTTTTCTTTTCTTGCTTCTTTCTGCGAGAGGTCCTCAATCTAATTACCTAATTCAGGAATCAATATTTTACCTTTATCTATTCTATGACCTGCCTAATCTCTTGGGTTCTTTATTTCACCTATTATATTTTGCATACCTAATGGTTCTATTTGGTTTTTATTATTTTCATTCCCATATAATACTTCTAAAATCTTCTCTTTTAGTATATTTACTACATTTATTTTAAATTATTGGTGCAACTATTCTAACAACTCTGCATCCAATGACATCTAATCCATTTTGTCGATTTCCTTGTTAAGTAGTTTGGTACAAGGATGTCCCATTATTTTGGCCTGTGAGCTCAGGTTCCCCGGGAGGGACTTGATTCTTTGGTGGGGCAGTGCCAAAAGCCAGATCCTAGTTGATGCCAGCCAGGTGGACTCCAAGGGAGTGGAGGAAACGAGTGCTAGTGTGGACAGCCCCAGACACCAGAAAATCATGTTTAAACACTTCAGGTTAGTATCACTCCCCCAAGCAAAGCAACTCTTCAGGTCAGGGCTTTACCTTCAGCAACCCAGAAGGAATCAGTTTAGGGGAGGCACTTCTATTCAGTACATCACTGCCTTTGAGTGTTTGGAGGGAAGAGGGTAGGGTAATGAATGACTGAGGCCGAACAGTCCCTAAGTCATCCTCCTGTCTGCCTTGATTTTCTCTCTGTGGACTCCTGCACTATGGCCATTAGCAACTGTGTGTCTGGGGTGGGGTAGAGGAGGCAGAGTGTAGCTCAATATCCATCTATCTATCATCTATCATCTTTCCCCCCCTTAATTATCTTGTACAATTATTTTCACACATGGGCACACGCACATATTCGTAGGTTCAAAATAGCCTTTTCCCAGGGTTGCTTGCAGTCTTTCCCTGCTCTATTCTAGGACCCACGATGTTTCTCTCTTTAGTTCCTCTAAGGTTGATCTTGATGGAAAGAGCCATGAGTTGGTGCTAAATTAGCATCTTGGCAGGAATTCTAGGACTTGTATAATATTTTGTATAATGCCAAAAGTGCTGATGCTCCTAAAAATACTTTGGTACATTTTCTGACTTTTTCCCTTCTGCATTGGTTCATGAGTTCTCGATTTTGGTTTTGTACATGCTTTGAAAGCCTCTCCAGTCTTTAGTTTTCCAAACTTCTTGGTTTGTGCTTTGATGGAACAAACCTCTAACTATTTTTAGGGGGGAAATTTCACTTATCACCAAGTTATTAGTTTTCCTTTAAGCCTGAAAGGGTAGAGTCCACTGAGGTTCTTCTGACAAAAGACTCAAGACCTTTTATATATGGAAGAGAGTTTCCAATTTGAATATAGTTACTTCGGCAATAAACTAACATGAAATGTGTTCAAATTAAAGTCTCCAATACATGGGGGGAGAAACCTTAAAGCTTTGAGGTTTGATATTCCCAATGGGACTTTTTCTAAATCATCTTCAAGCATCCTTTAGAACACAAGATGGTCAGAAATATAACTTTTCATGAAGGGGGTCTCTGTTAACAAGTGTATGTGGTAGTAAATGTTTGGACCTTCATTTATCTATAAAGTCTAAGAATTCACCCACCGTGATATCCTGACACCCACTACCCTCTTCTTCTGAACCAGCCTTGTCAGGGTCACTGATGATGTACAATGTACTGTCTATAGCTTACCAATGAACAGTTTAGTCATCACTTCGCTGTACACCTTAGCAGGCATCTGACAATGTTGGCTCATCCCACCATGAGCCATCCACTTCCCTGGGCTCCCGGAGTCACTCATCCTCTCTCTCCCCCCACCCCCTCTGTCCCCCTACCTACTTTTCTGTCTGTTCTAAGCCTTCTTTGCAGGCCTTCACATTTCACTTCATTTTCCTCTCCCTTGGTGGAGACATTCCTCAGCCTTTGTTCTCAACAGGATGTTCTCTTCGCATTTTTCTATAGTCTCCCTGGATGAACTCCATTCCCATTTTTCCATCCTAAATCTTTCTCTTGAACTCTAGCCACATACTGTGTAAATCTCCCTGTCCCTCTCCTACCACGTCCAGTCAATCACAGTGTCTTGTTCACTTTCTTTTTATTGTGGTAAAAATACATCACATAAATTTTAGCATTTTAAGTGTCTCTCTCTCTCACATTGATGTCCATCTCTCTCTCCCCCCTTCCCTCCCTCCTTTCCATTCTCTCTAAAAATCAATGGGAATAATGTCTTCGGTAAGGATTAACAACAACAACAACAACAAAAACCCACACTCACCTTAAAATACAGTTGCTTTGGGATTAGAGTCAACTGCTTTGGGAACTTTGTAAATGAGTTTTAATGGTCTGTTACAGTAGAGGTTTTAGGGGAAAAATGGTTCAGAATATTATTAACCAACATAAACAATGCATATTTGTTTCCTTTTAGAGACCTTGAGTTGTGTATCATTTGTCTTCTTAAATCTGCTTTGTTACGAACCATCACAGTTGTTTTGCCCTAGAATGGCTATGTAGCATTTGGGGCTGACCATGACAGGATTCTTTCTGCGAAGATAAATACATATTACATCAGAAAGTGACTCAGTCAATACATAATTTACAGATTTACCTGGGAACTCTTTCAAATGGGATCTGTAGGTACTAAACAGCCTGGTGCATGGAAAGACCACAGTCCTGGGAGTCAGACTGTTTTGGCACTGGGAAGCCTTGGGGAAGTTATTTCGTTTCGAGCTTCACTTTCTTCAGCATAAGCAATACAGACCCACCTCTCAGAGTTGTTGTGAGGACAGTGAGCTAACTGTGAACACATTGGAATGTGGTAGGGACCTGTGTGAGCGGGTCCTTCCTGCCCACATTATTACATCCATTCCCTTTGGTCACTACATTATCCAAGTCTCCTCAACTTTTCCTGCAAAAGACCTCAGCTCCCACCCGCTTTGGGGGTCATAATTGCCCCAGAACTACATCTTTAGTTCTGGCCCAGCCCTACTCTGCTACGAGGCCTTACTGGTCTCAAGCTTCTGGAGGGTCAGGAGAAAGGGGGTGCTTTGGAGAAACATGGCTGTGGGGAAAGTGAAAATACTTAGGAGGGAGAATCACTGTCTAGGCCAGCCATGTGTTGGTGACCTCTGCCAGCACATGTGGTTGAAGTCACCGTGAAGTTGGAAGCTGCATGTCTTGGCCTGTAGGTCTTGGTCCATAGAAATCACGACCAGCCTTCTCTGAGAGACACAAGGATATTGATGCTGAGGCTCGTGCTCATGGACACTGTGGCTGGTCAGCCTTTTATGCTAAAATTTTACTAGGAGACTGGGTTACAGTAGGGACAAGTTTTAGCAAAGAGCCTCATCAGTGCTTTCACAGACTTTCTTTCAAATCCAAGCAACTTGTTTACAATATCTACCTTTTAGGCAAAAACATATTTTCTGTTTTCTTTTTACTTTTTTCAATAACAACAAATTTAAAAATAAAATTTACATAACCATGTTTTGATGTTTCTTAAAAACAATGTTTGTCATTAGACAAAATGAAGTGAAACCTGGTCACAAGTTTCCTAGGAGTGCTGGGCAAGCCAGGCGAGCCCAGCACCGAGCCAGGTCTTCTCTAAGGCCCAGAACAAGCTTGGTATTAAAATTAGGACAAACAAACTGAAAACTGTGCTTTTGGACAACACTGGGGTGCGAGGAAGACTGCAGTGGGCAGGTGAATCGAAAGGACATTTTCCCTTTTCTTTCACCAAAATGCCATCGCCTGATCCTGCCCAGTTGTCGCAACCAGCGACACTCCCAGCTGGTTTCCGGGGAGCCCTTAGCAGCTGCCATCAGCCTTCTACAAATCAAAAGAAAGGAGGCAGAATCAACTTTCCCCAGGTCTGAGGTGCAAGTGGGGCGAAAAGCGGAGGCTTGGTTCTCGGCTGCCACCTCCTCACTCCCCCGGGACAGTCGGGGCGGCTGATCTCGCAATTCCAGCCTCAACCCAGGGGCTGGAGGCACTGGGGAGAGAGACCCGTGGGCGCGCGGGAAACTGGGGCGTCCGGGGAGGGCTAGGACACTGGGGGTTCCGCCCAGAAATCCCTCCCTGGGTTGGGACGAGTACTGCCAATCTCAAAAAAACCACAAAACCAAAAAACTAATCAGAAAACACAAAGATAACAAAGACCACCCCCACTCCCCACCAATCACCCCACCCGAATCCACCAAAGGTAACCAAGGCTGCTGTTCTAGCAGGAGTGGGGGTTAGGTCCCCAGAAGCGAAACTGTTGGGCTGTACCTCTGTTTCCTGGGCGGCGTCCGTTCCGGGAAGTGTCGTCGCCAAGTTCAGTAGATAGAAGGACCTCGCCCTGCAGAGTTAAGGCCAGGAGGCTGCTTCTCTTGCTCCCGGCAGAGTTAAGGCCAGGAGGCTGCTTCTCTTGCTCCGGGCAGAGTTAAGGCCAGGAGGCTGCTTCTCTTGCTCCCGGCAGAGTTAAGGCCAGGAGGCTGCTTCTCTTGCTCCCGGCAGAGTTAAGGCCAGGAGGCTGCTTCTCTTGCTCCGGGACGGAGGCGCGCTGCTGCGGAGAAACCTTCACAGGTAATGAGCCCCCCGCGCGCCTGTGCGCAGGTCCTCCAAAAGCTCCTTCCCCCCTCCCCAGGTTCTCGCTGGCCCCCCGAAAGCGGAGTGCAGCAGCCGCAGCCCCGGGAGCTCCTTTCCCGCCGGGGAGACTCTCAGAAGTAGGAAACGTCCAGCAGATGGGCCGCGAAGGAGCCGGGAGCGGGAAGGTTTGGGACACATGGCGTCCTGGGGAGGGAGGAGGGGCGCCCAGCCGCACAGCCCAAATCTTACCAACCCGAGCCTGGTAAAATTTCCCCACGGTTCAGGAGCTCAAAGAACTTTAAAGGGAGCAGCTACATCAGGTACCGAGGCTCCCGAAAGTGAAGCCAGTGAGGGTGTGGCCTGGGGACTAATTGGGTCCGTGTCCAGTTCATTACAAGAGGCTGTGTTTGGCCACTGCCTGTAAGCCCCTGGCTTGGGACATCAGTCGTGAAACTAACAGTCGTGTGTGTGTGTGTGTGTGTGTGTGTCCCGTCCCCCCCCAGTATAGCCCCCGACGCGCGGTAGTAGAGCTCCCGGAGGCGCGGTTGGCCCAGGCTCTGCTACAGTGATTCCGCTCCCTGCCCCCACTTTTTTTTTCAGGTCTTTTAAAAAGCAATCTTTTTTAAAAAATGACTTTAAAGAGAGAGAATGGGACACACACACACACACACACACACCCCATTTGTTTTTCCACTTCTTTATGCATTCATTGGTCCATTCTTGCATGCGCCCTGATGGGGGATGGAAGCGGCAACCTTGGCGTGCGCACTGAGACAACGCTCTAACCGAGGAGCAGGGGCCAGCGCTCTGGTCCACTCTTGCACAGTACCGTCTAGGGGCCAGAAAGGAATCCTTGAGGCCCCGCGGGCTGGCGTGGCTCAGCGGTTAGCACCCACCTAGGATCCAGGACATTCCCGGTCAGGGCACATGCCCCGGTTGCAGGCTCCATCCCCAGCAGGGGAGTAATGAGGTCTCATGATTGATGTTTCTCTCGCTCTCTCCCTCTCTCCGGGCTCCCTTCCTCTCTCTGAAATCAATATTTTAAAAAAAAAGAAGAAGAAAGAAAGGAATCCTTGAAGACTAGTGTGGTAGGGAGGCCGTGCAGCAGGGCCTGCGGGAAGTTGGTCGGGGTCTGCGGGTTCATCCGCGCCCCTGGTGGTCTCAGGGCGGAGGCCCTGGGAGGAAATGGGTGCGGGCGCTGATGTTTCTGGGGCCGAGGAGAATTGGGCGAGGCTTCGCCTTCCTT